CGGGGGGCGGGGGGTGGGAGCCAGACACGGCCGGCCCCAGCCTGCATCCCAGGGTAGCCAAGCTCATCGCCATCCTCTCCTGCCCGTTTGGAAAGGCAATGAAAGGCAAATTGCTGTTGCAGGATAAACATTTCCCATTCCTGAGCCTGCTCCAGCTTCTCCCTTTGGCGATCGCAGCCCGGGTTTGGGGCATTAAGCCCCGTGCCGCTGACAGCTCTAGGATGTGACCTGCGGAATGGCACCCGTGAGCAGCAAAGCACCGCTGGAGGCACCCCTGGTTTTGCCGGGCAGTGCCACTGCCAGCTCCCGAGGGTCCCAGGGCTCAGCCGCTCTCTGCTGGCACCGCGGGAGATAGGGCCAGGGCCACTCTCTTCCCATTAACTGCATTTTCTCAGGGGGAATGGGGCTGGGCACGTAGCTCCGAAATATCTCCGAATAGCGCTGCCTCCGAATATAGCTCTGTCAAGAGAGAAATTGCCACTTTCCCCGAGGTGGCTTTTGAGCCAGAGGTGCGTAGGCATGGGAAATTGGAATTCGCAAGAGTGGGACAATTCCATTACTGTCTCCTCCAGCTTCTTCCTTCTCCTATAATAAGGGAATTAACTACTTTGCAGGTTTGAGTATATCCGGAGGACAGCAGCAAACCAGTGAGCAATGAGCCCGTGACGCAGCTGGATTTACAAACTGTATTAAGAATATTATTAGGTTAAAAAGTAGTTTGCACTGAAGGAACTTTTTTTATTTAAACACGGCGTTTTACTTGGCTTTTATTGTACTGAATGGATTTATTAAAAAAAAAAAAAGCAAGATGGAAAATGATAAGTTATTTCCACTGAGAAGATTCCAGTTGTGATAGAATGTAGACTTGGAAAAAAAAAAAAAGGAAAAAATAAAATTATAATATCTCACTAAGCACCAGGCAGCAGCAGCACACACACAATCCTCTATCTTATCTTCACAGAAAGAGAAAAGAAGCCCTCTGTAATGCAGAGATGTGTGGAAGCTTTGGGGTCACAACTCCAGATTTCTCTTTGAACCACAGGAGGTTCGTTTACAGCACCCGGGACTGATTCCCTAATATCCCCAGCAGTCAGGTTCAGAAAGAAAACCTTTCTATTCCCTCTTGCTGGTGCCTGAAGAGCAGCGTGGCACATTCACTACCACTGGATCCAAAGAAAAGACGACAAAAGGAAACACAAAGCACAGACCTGACAATTGCACGCATTTTAAAGGCAAACTCTAAGAGTCTTTCTGAGCCTGAGCGGGATAATGGAGGGGTTTGGAATGAGTTCAATGCCTTAAAAATAAAATGAAATAAAATAAGACAGCCTTGATGTAGCTCTGTAGGACCAGGAAAGGAGTCACATCCAAACAAAAAGAAGAAAAATAATAAACAGACCCCCAAACCCAGCGACAACCCCCCCGCCTTGCACTGGCCCTGTTCCACAGGAGAGGACAGGAGGCGTGCCAAGAAGAGCAAGGATGAAGGCAAAGAAATAAAAGGAATGGCAATGGGAAGGAGATTCAGGATTTATTAAAGCATGTTGTGATACCTTCCAACAAGGTCTTAGAAATATAAGGTAGGAACCTCAGTCTCCCTGAGTTGTCCTCTGTAGTGAAAGCCGACAGCCCTCCCCTTGCAAGTTTTATTTAATCAAAAGTCCCTGCAATATGTGAGAGATGGATGGAGCCCTGCTCCCATCTCGAGCACTGGGAGCTTGTTCACAGGTGAGAGTTTTAATGGCACAATTTTCCTTGCATATTATTTTTGTCAAAAATGACTGCTATATTTGTTTCTATGTTGGTGCCTCTTTAATTATTCAGGCTAATATTCTTAAGTTATGAATTAAACAAAATGCTTGCCAGATCAAAGCTTCTCCTAAAAATAAAAAGAGAAAGGGACAGATTTACAGCCCTGAGCACCATCCTGGTGGGGTGGGATGGGAAAGGGCGACACGAGCAAGCCCTGGTCAGGGCAGCCGGGTCAAGCCCCCAGCAGTGTTCAGCTCAGCTGGTCCATCCCCACCAGGGCCTGGAAAGGCTTGGAGGTGGCATCTTTATTTCTTTTAATTCACAAGATGCCTCATGGATTGAACAACTCGAATCAATACGAAGAATTTACAAGTTGGGCAGCGCACTGGCCAGACCTCTCGTCCACGCTGCGGGTTGGTGTGGGGTTGATCTCTCCGTTAAAGCACTGAGGCTCTGCGGTATAGCGAATTCTACCCTGCTGAAAAAATACTGTGCCTCCCTGAAGCACAGCATTCGTGGAGCAATGAGCAATGGCTGGGGAAATAATGAAATAACCTCCCTAAGCAAGACTGCCTGCCTTCCAGAGACACTCCTGCAAATTATTCAGAGACTCCTAAGTTGGCGGTTGGAAAGCTGGAGCAAAAAATAAAGGACCCATTTCACCGTCCAGTCATTATTCTCTAAGAAAAAAAACCAACAAAAAATAAAAAAAAAAAGGAGAAAAAAAAAGTCATGAGAAGTCTGACAGTGTCTTAATGAAAACCAGAACAAAAAAATACTGAAGAACATAACATGATCAAGGGGTAAATTAAGGGTTTGCAAAGTGTCAGTCCTGAGCCAGGTCTGCAGACCTGCAGTTCAGAATGATATGCGTGTGCCATGAAGTAAGCAAACGAGCTTTGCACCACACACGGGGTTTAGTGGGATGCCTCACAGCAGCGGTGGCCAGCCGTTAGTGACACAGCACTGCCATTCAAGTGGGACGAGACGTGCCGACTTCCCAGTACCTTGCACTGCACTGGCTGAGCTCTCCATTAATACATCATCCAGCATTAGATCTAAAAGAACGAAACGGCATTAATCACCCAGCAGGACACACAGCAAGACTTCCCTTCCCCTTCCGAGGTCCCTATGGCTCTCAGGCTCTCCATTGCCTCTACCGGGAGTGTTTCCTTGCAGGATCTTCTCCTTGTGCCTCATGGAGGGTGGGGTCAGGTCCGCGGGCTTGTCGTGAAAAAGGAAGGGCTCTTGTGCTTCTCCCAGGTACACAGGTGGAAGCCCAAAGCATCCCTGAGAACCCCCTCACTTGACGATGATTAAGGAGAAGACACTTTGGAAGGACGGACTTTGTACATATCCTGCTGGGCCAGCTCACCTCACAGCGACCACTCCTGCATCTGCCTACATCTCACCAAGCTGGAATCTCACATGCTTTTCTGACTTTCAGATGTCCAATTTGGGTAATTGCATTTGAATAGTCTACAATCAAAAATGGCTGTGCAACCAGTTAGATGGCTACATCTGTCCATGCCTGACATCCACAGTTTGGTTTGGGCATCTGGGGACACTCACGAAGCCCAGCTGAAAGGAACCCCCATGCAGTTGCTGGCATAATCAAAGCCCTATCTTGGTATCATCTGCAAGTTCTCACCATGCAGAATGAAGCTAAGCAATGACATCTGTTGCCTCCGAGGGCAAAGCTGGACACGGTCAATTAAAACCAACGTTTGACTGAACGCAAATTGGGAAAACTGTTCTGAAGCAATTTGGAGGGCTTTGTACTTTGCTCTTGAAAGGTTTTTATGGCGATTGAATACTCAGCAATATTTGATCCTCAGTAAAATAGCTGTTTATTGCCTCTTTAATTAGGCATTTCATAGGACTGAATGAGTAACTACATCTCCAAGGATGGTTTGTGATTCCTTCCCACTGGGAAATTGCCCAGACGTCTTTTCTTCATCTAGTTCCTCTAGCATTATAAATAAGGTCATTAATAATAACTAAACATCTATTTTTCTTCTACAGAAATGTCTGCTTTCCAAAACTGCAACTTTAAATCGGGATCTTTCTACCCAGCTTTTAAAAACATTTTCTAACTCATCAGCCTGAAACTATGTTTGGGAACATGGGCTGACTGAAAGAGCTTTCTAGGCATTTCCTTGATGTGAAAAACAAAACAAAAAAATCTTTCCATCCATATCCCACTTAACTTAGAACAGTCTAACGTGTCCTCCACCGCTCTTGAGGGAAGCCTCCATCTTTCCACTGACCATTGAGGAAGCCAGGCTCTTGGCATAAACCAGAGTTTGATGTCCAGAGGCTGGTGTGATACCTCCTACTGGTTACAAAACCTGTGAAGCTCATGGGACTTAAAGATGTGACCAAAGGAAAGTGCTCGGTAAGTGCTGAGTGCTGGGTAAGTGCTGAACTGAGAGAGTCTGAGACACCATTGTAGTACGTGGTTGCATGATTAAGCCTGTTACAGCTATTAAACACCTATTAAAACTATTAAACACCTATTAAATGCTATTAAAAAAATAAAACAGACTTAATATTACCAGCTTTCAGAACAAGCGCCTGATCAGACAGCCTCTTAAACAGTACTGAAGTCTGTCAAAGATAGAGAAGAGATGTGAAAGGGGACACGGTGAGAGCAGCAGGCGGACTGACCAGGGAGGGAAAGCGTGAGGCCACGGACACGACGGGCAACGGAGAAAGTTCAGTCAGAAGAGAGAGCATGCGAGAAGAGTACCTCCGGCCTGTGGCCTCTGGCTGGCTGACTTCTTACTTATTCAACCAAATTAAAAGAATAAAAAGACTGAAAGACAAATGTCAGGTTGGAGACTTTTGGCAGAGCGGAGGTCTAGCCTCCTTTCACCTGCAAAGCCTTCTCTAGGCAGGGCTGCAAGCTTGCACATCCAGTTTGGAGTTTGGTTCAATCTCTGTCAGTGCTATCTTGCCTAGTTAGTTACTCTCCTCAACTGCTTTTTTTTTTTTTTGTTTTTTCTAATCTGTATTTCTCAAGCAAACGCATTGATATGTTTCTCTAAGGAGTTTTTAAGCATTACTAGAATGAGTTGGCTCCATTATTTTATTACACTCTTGAATAGCAGTGGTGCTACTGTGCCAATAAATAAACCTGCTTGATAAATGGGACAGGTAACATCACTGTGGCATTACAAGGCTGTAATAAACCAAATAGTGAATCCAGTTATCAGCAACAGTGCTCATGACTCAGAAGATTTATGGTGCCATCCGGCACTGCTGATCTTTGCAGTTGTCACTATTTGTGTAACACTGAGCTCTGCTATCCAAGAAGCTCCAGGTCTGATTATTATTATATTTTAATTTAAATAACCTCCAATGAAAAAGTCATTGCAAATCATGCAGCCACTAAAAAGGCTTCCATGGCTCCTTGCTCAGCCTAAAACGACACTATTTCCTTCATGCAAATTTTATAGCTGGACATGCTTTTGGGAGAAGAATGATCACCAGACGCGAGGCAGGGAGGGAAGGGAGGAGGGGATTGTGTGGAAGGTCAGGCAGGACTCAGAAAGATGTGGAAAGACTACCGACCAGCCATCTGTTTCTCCTTACTCCTTCTCTTTTTCTCCAACCGGCGAAGCCTCTTCTCCTCCCGCCTCTTGGCTTCTTCCTCCTCCTGGTGCTGCCGACACTTGTGGAAATTCTCCACCAAGGAGATAAAGTAGAGGAGCATCCATGGGTTGTAGTTCATGACTGGCTGCAAAGTGGAGGAAGGCAAATGTCAACTGAACCTCAAAAAAAAAAAAATGGGAGCAAACTGATACAGCTGCCCCATCCACAAAACCCATGGGTGCCCCTTTGAGGCAGCTCAGTGTGCTCTGCTCTTCCTGAAAATTAGAGCCCTCTGAGGCATTTTAATTGAATGCTCCCAAACCACAGAGCGTGTTGAGGACAGAAGAACCACCTCTGTTCTGCCAACAGCAGGACAGTGGCATCCTCTGCAGCTATTGTAAGTCCCTCACTGAAAACCTGTACCTACACAAAGCACTTCTTTTCTCCTGAAATGCCCAAATTGCTTAAGAATTCAAACCATTCTTCGATAGGAGCAGTTCTCCTAATGCTAGTTACACCAGTTCTGTTGCAAAATCTGTAGGGAAGAGGATAGGTCCAAATCCAGACTTTTCACTTGACTCCTTGTCACACCCAGGTTAAACAGCTCCCTTGATCCTGACCCCATTGGGGTGTGGAAGCCATTTTGCAAAACAAGAGCCAAAACGTGCCACCTTTGACAACTCATTTCTTACAGCTCTGCTAGAGCACGTACCTGCTGGTCAACTCCCACAGCATCTAAGCCATCGTACATGATATCCACCCACCCGTCCTTGGAGGCCAGAACAAAGAGGGACATCAGGGCCTAGAAAGACATGGGAAAAAAGTTAGACAGAGTTGCACTAAAGGTCTCTTACCTGTAATATTTTACTCCTCTTTGCCCTTTCCTGTCTGGTGATTATCATTACCTGTCTGATAATAGGACGCTTTGATGCCCAAGGTTTCTCCTGGCAGCAAAAACCTATCAATGTCAGCACCCAGTTCAGCAATGAGTGCTAATTTGGAAAGCACAAAGCCCAAGACAAAAGCAGCTTCATTTCCACCCTCCAGGTCTCTACTGCTCCCAACTAATTAGTCCTTACCACGCTGCTAAAATAAGGCTGTGTTGCAGAGATGGCTGGAAGTGTCCGGCTCTATTAGACAAGCCCTTCTGCAAGATGTATTTGGTTTGTTATGTAGCAGTGAAGCAATTAAGTACTCCATGAAGCCACATGTGCTTGTTCTGTTCCAAAAAGAAGTGTATGCCTGCTTGGAAACACTACCTTTGGGATTTACAGAGACAGAATGCTGTGTATGTGAACTGAATATTTACTGCGACTGATAGTGCCCTGTAAGAAAATCCCAGGGGATAATAATGCACAGGTTTTAAGTCAAGGAAGTAAAGGAGCAAAGAAGCAGATTACCATTCTATTAATACCTGGCCGAGATTATCAAAATTATACTTGTGCCGGACCCATTTGTAGCTTGCTTCTGTACAATCCGATTTATTTGTGATGTTTCTGGTGTCCTCCCCCTGGCAGACAAAAAACTTGCCTTTGAAAAGCTGCAAAACACGCAAAAAAGAGAGGAAAGGTAAGGGTTCGGTCCAGAGGATTTCTCTGCAGATGATGGGCATTTCTCCTGGGGTATTTGGCACAGCCCACGCCGTCCAGAGAAGTTAAGGGAAATGGCCTCATTCGTGCTGGTTATTAAGTGCAAGCAGCCGGTACAAGACGCACCTAATGGGCAAATGCATGATTTCACATCATTTAGGACACCCACCTTGTGCATTAGGTTGTCTGGTTCAGTGATCTGAGACTGGCCTAAAGGCCTTTCCTTCTGGGTCGCCAGCTCAAGTGTAGCCCTGGCTAATAGCCCAGACCAACTAATGGCTTCTTGCCACACGTGGAATGACTCCGGCGACTCCAGCCCAGTTAACGATGCTGGTTTCAAGAGTCACCGACAAATTAAATGTAACGGGGCCCTCCATCAGCAGAGCAAAGGTGGCACTGAAGAGGCACAGTGATGGACTGAGCTCTGCTCGTACAAGTCTCAAGGGGACACGTTGGAGAGGACCCGAGCTGCTCCAAGTGACTCCGAGCTCTCGCTGAATCAAGCCTGCTGTCAGTCCAGCTCCGGTCTCTGATCCTGAATGCTGTTCTGCAGCCGTCATTAGGCTCTGCAGTCTGCGCAGGGGTCTCTGAAATTATTCCTTGTGTAGAGCTTAAGGATTCAAACCCAACGGGTGCTGGGTACCTGATCCCAAGCTTATTTCCTTTGGTGTAAGCCAGGAGAGATGCAACTCCTGGGGAGGCAGCTCCTGATTTACACCTGCACAAGGAACATGAGCCTCCATGCATTTAATGCTAGACCTGGTGCTTCCCGCACACAGAACGGTGTGGCAGGGGATGATTACTGCTTCAGACAGGGTGATTGATGCTAGCAGGATAGAAGGTATCAAAGCCTGGGAGACATCCAACAAATCTAGTTTTATTTGCTGACAGAAGCTATTGACATTACTGTTTTGGGGGGAAATGGCAGCCTGCTCTCCAGGCTCCTTAAAACACCACCTGGGTATACAGAGAAAAGACGCTGATGGGTTTTGATCTGTTGTTCTAGACAAATATCAGTAGAAATAATAGCAAACAAGATAAACCCACGCATTGCTCCATGGGTTTCCTTCAGAAATCAACAGCAGAAGGGTGTTCTCTAGGCATGCAAAATTAATCACCACTCAACGCAGTCATAAAACTTCTGGATGCAAGAGGAGGAGTATTCCCTGATCTTTCCATGGAGAAACACTATCCGTGGGTAAGGCAGACTGGGGAGACATAGCCTTCACAGAGAAAAGTTTTAATTAAGCAGGAAGGTAAACAACTCTTTTTAATACATTGACTACAAATGTAACTTCTCCAGGAGCTGGACTGTAACGCCGCTCAGATGGGAGCAGTAACATAGCTACTGACGGTGTTTGGAAATACAAAGCCCCATTTGCAAAAATGCTGATCCCTGCCAGCGTGTCAGATTTTAGCACTTCCAAAAGTGAAAGACCCAGTGATTCCTCCTGTACTTGTTTTATCGAGCTATTTTTTGTGTCTTATCTATGAGTATTCACGTGTGGACAAGCTCTACAATAAAAACAGCTTCGCTAAGAGGAGACGCTGTTAGAAACCTGGACGTCTGCATTTTACTAGCGCTAAAAACCTCTGGTTTGATCCCCAGCTTACATTTACATGGGAAAACCAACCGTAACTTTGAGAGATCATCTTTTTATAGAAGATGGCTATGGCCCTCATCTTGCACCTAATTAACCATAAATATTAAACTGAGAATTTTGCATCCTGAATACAGGATCAGTCTTGCTTGTATCTACCACTTAAGCACATCAATAGTCGTGACAATTCAACATAAGACCGCAAGTCAGTAGGGAGAGCAATCACAATTAGCAGGGAGGAAATTCAGAGAGCATACCGCAAGTTTTGCTGTTTGGCATAAATTTTCCCGTGTCTGAGTTTTATATTGTTTTAGGGGATATGCTTAGCTTTATGAATCTGTTCAGTATAATGGATGGATGTTGTTGTACCGTAATGCTAAGCCAATCTAGCTGCTGAGATGGTTATGGATGGCATGATTTTCTCCTCTGTTTATTTTCACTGCTGTATTTATTATTTAAACAGTATATTAGGATAAAATATTATATCAATCACAAGTAGCAGGGAGGAAATTCAGAGAGCATACCGCAAGTTTTGCTGTTTGGCATAAATTTTCCCGTGTCTGAGTTTTATATTGTTTTAGGGGATATGCTTAGCTTTATGAATCTGTTCAGTATAATGGATGGATGTTGTTGTACCGTAATGCTAAGCCAATCTAGCTGCTGAGATGGTTATGGATGGCATGATTTTCTCCTCTGTTTATTTTCACTGCTGTATTTATTATTTAAACAGTATATTAGGATAAAATATTATATAAGACACCTTTCCAAAACAAAGCCAAACGGAGCTGCTTTCCAAAGCTGGCTGTGACAGATCAGATAAACTTCAGAAAGAAATAAGTGTTATGTCAGAATATTTATATGAAAGAATCTCTTCTTCTTAGGTAATGAGAAATCAATTGCATTGGAAACTCTGCCACTTTTCCGCTGGTTTCCTGCACTCCTGGGATTGAGGAAGCAGACTCAGAAATCTCTATTTTTGCAAGCTTTCAGTTATACAAATGGTAAAAATCTGAATGAATCTCCAGGTCAAGGTCTCTCTGGAGTTTACAAACCAACAGTTTCAGCTTTGAGAGTTTCTATTTCCCCATTGCTTTGTACCTAGAAGAAAGGTGGAGGGGAGATGTCCCCATGTGATCTCCCAGACGCAACAGGAATAGGATTTAACAGCTTCCTTGAGCAGAGTTTTTCTGGTGGTACATGTTATGCCTCAGGCCTGACCCTTCTGTGGCATGGCTGGGGGAAGAAAGGGGAGAAATAGCTTGATCCATGTCCTGCTGCGGGCAGAGTAAAAGTCCTTGCAGTGGAGAAAGGATGAAGAAAGCCCATTCTGTGCCTTTGAGGGGGTTGTCATGTTGGCTTTTGAATCACTGCATGCAACAGGGAAGCTTCAAGAAAGTTCAACGCATCAAGTGACACATAGCCAAGACTGGGCAGTCAGAAATAAATGTGTCTTGAGAGTGCTAGAAAGGCCATGCTGTGCTGCTGGGATGGGGACCAAGAGCCACATAAGCCTTTGGGTCTGAGTCACGTCAGGCTGTTAACTGTGGCAAAGTTATGGATTCAAAACCAACACACGTTTCCAGAGCTGGGCAGAAAACCTCGATGGAACCAGAGAGAGGCAAAACCAACTCCACCGACTGACTCTAACCATTGCTCCTTCAGCTATGGCTAGGGATGCATGTAGCTGGGCCACTGTTGTTAGGTTGTAATTGTTAATGAGTTTTTAATGGCTGACCAAGAATGGGAAATCTGCTTCCTTCTTGCTAGGAGCAAGGAACGTTCCTCAAGAAGGCCAAACAGCCCACTGGTTCAGTTTCAGAAAGGCTTATAGTGTGCCCATTGGTATGGACACGCAAATGTCAGGCCATCTGGGGCTCATTACACTTTTGGGTTAGGTGCTAAGGCTTACAGGGCACTCACCTGAACTCCCAAGATCCCAAAGATTATGAAAAAGGCACAGCAGATGACCACGATGTTCCCAATGGGCTTCAGGGATGACATGAGAGTCTCCACCACCAGCTTCAGTCCTTGAGCTCGACTAATGACTCTGTGGGGGCAAGTAAGTACAAAAGCTGTGTTAGTCCTGTCCTCGCCCAGTTCTGCCTGGTATCAAGACAGAAGATGTGGAGAAAACAGCACGAGGGAATTTTTTTAGAATGGCAAATAACTCAAAAATCATGATGGAAGAAGCAGTTCTGGAAGATTGACTGGTGAGATTATAGAGGTGTTTGAGGGAAAGGGGTCTCTGCCTACACATAACAGCTTTTCGTAAAAGAAGAGGAGGAGGAGACCACGTATAATGAGCCAGGCCAGAAAAGTCACTGGATAAGGACCTAGGAAAGGAAGATATATAGGCTAGCCCCATATATTTTCAAACGTGGAGTGATGGTTTTAATCTAACCCACTACCTATTCTTGATCTGTTTGCTGATCAGCATCTTCTAGTTACCATTCACTTGTAATAGATTCAAGCCTTGGCATTTTCCTTTTCCTATCATTCGGTCCAAAGAGCTCTCCAGGTTTCCAGCCTTGATCACACCTTCCCTGGAATCCAGCCCCTTGGTTCAGACCATCCACACACACACACACCCTTATGCCTGTAGCCTGTCCAGGACTGCAAAGAGAGGGATTCCCAGTGTCCATTCCTGTGTAGTTTCAGGCAAGGCTCTCAATTTCCCTGTCCCAGTCTGCGAAATGGAGCAACCACTCTTACACAGCTGCCTGCAGACCATACTGATCATAGAATGGGTTGGGTTGGGAGGCACCTTTAAAGGTCATCTAGTCCACCCCCCCCGCCATGAGCAGGGACATCTTCATCTCCATCAGGCTGCTAAAAGCCTCATCCAGCCTGACCTTGCATATTTCCAGGGGTGGGGCATCTACAGCCTTCTCTGGGCAACCTGTGCCAGTGTTTCAGTAGCCTCACTGTAAAAAAAAAAAATATCTGTACATGCCCTTATAGAGCTGCTGTGTACGGAGACCTGAGCTACTCCTCAGTACTATCACGGTCTCCACCTTACACCCACTGTACGACCTCAGCTACTGAACCCATGGTGTCATCCAGGTGAAACTTCACCAGCAGACCACAGGCATCCAACCTTACTTCTATAGCTCCTTTCCATCCAGTACCAAACAGAATTTCATAACAGGGGATTAGATCACATGCAAAGGTTGGGAAAGAATAATGTGGACATGACTAAAGTAGGTAAAAAAAAAAAAAAAAAAAGGAACCATACTATACTCTCAAGGACAATACTACAATGAAAGGACAGGCTTGTGTGATTTAGAGAAGCCATCTCACTGTGCTGGGCAAGATGAATGAGGTATTCAAGCTTACAGACCTAAAGGTGGAGAGCTGGGGGACCGAGAAAGGCATCTGAAGAGGTTGCATACCTCCCTCCTCCTGATGCCAACTGGAATTAAGCATTTCACTAGCATTGTAAATCAATTTGTACTGATGTCATAGAAACTGTGCTTTCCCAAGGCAGAAATAGCTGTCTGCTGTGTAAGTTGGAGGGAGGGAAGCGCCTGTGCGCTGCTGGGTACCGGCTGGTGACTCCTTTGAACACTTGGCACTCAAAAGTGCCACAAATTTCCCCACCTTCTTGTTTCTGCCTGGTTCTCTCTTTTGCCATGGGAGTCCTCTCACCGCCTCTCCCGTTTCACCCCAAGTCTGGCTGCACCACCTGAAGCACAGCTTGGTGTTGTGTTGCCTGGAGAGAATCCAAGTTATCTTCCTCTCTCCCCCCTCCCAGGCCACGGTGCTCCTGGCAGAGGTCCCCATGGACACAGCCACATGCCCGACATGCGTGGCCTTGGCTGGGACCCCAGCCAAGCCTGTCCCAACCCTCTCCCGCCCCAGAGCTGGCAGGTTTAGCAAATGGCAGAGCTCAGTGCACAGGCACCAGGTCTTTCAAAAACTGCTGGCTTTAAACGGTATCCTGAAAAGCTAAAAATTATTTCCTTTTTTTCTAGTTAAATATTTACTCAAAATGTCAAGGGTAACTCATCAATTATCATTTTAAAAAAGAAACAGATGGTGGTATTTTTATCCACTCCCTTACCAGTGAAACACAAAAGGCAGATGCTGCTATTCCTCACGCTGGGTGTCTCTTCCAGGTAGCTGCTGTGGCTCCCTTTTTCAGACACCTCGGCTTTCCTGATGCTCAGATCTGGGTTATTTTAGGGAATGAGCTGGGGGTGAGATGGCTCAGGGAGCAGAAGGTTACTCAAGGGTAAGATGCCCCAGGGGATGGTGTGAACCCCCTGCAGCCATGGCAGCGTGGGGACTGGTCAATGTGGGCTGCCAAAACTGCCCACATGAATCAGCCCAGGCTGAGGTCCTCACTGGGTCAGCCACGCTGCCGCTGTCGCGTTGTACCTGTGCCAATGCCGAGAGCTGAGCTGAGGCCTACTAGCAGAGGAGGTTGGGTGGCAGGTTGGTGTGCCTGACCCACGAGCTGGCTACTCCAGCCTAACCAGCAGTGTCCGCAGGGCAAGGGGTCTTTCTGCCAGTTAGCTGCTGTGGCTCCCTTTTTCAGACACCTCGGCTTTCCTGATGCTCAGATCTGGGTTATTTTAGGGAATGAGCTGGGGGTGAGATGGCTCAGGGAGCAGAAGGTTACTCAAGGGTAAGATGCCCCAGGGGAGGGTGTGAACCCCCTGCAGCCATGGCAGCGTGGGGACTGGTCAATGTGGGCTGCCAAAACTGCCCACATGAATCAGCCCAGGCTGAGGTCCTCACTGGGTCAGCCACGCTGCCGCTGTCGCGTTGTACCTGTGCCAATGCCGAGAGCTGAGCTGAGGCCTACTAGCAGAGGAGGTTGGGTGGCAGGTTGGTGTGCCTGACCCACGAGCTGGCTACTCCAGCCTAACCAGCAGTGTCCGCAGGGCAAGGGGTCTTCCCACCCCATCTGAGTGCACAAAGCAAGCATTGGGCCAGACAGCCTAAGGCCGAATTGCTCTTCTGGACCCTCAGATGGTCTAAAGACCTCACCATCCCTCACCTCTTGCCCTCACACAGTCCCCAGTGAAATATTACAACTGCCAAACTACAGATGGGAAACAGAGGCATGGCAGGACCGCAAGCCATGTTCTTAGAGGTAGACAGGCACCTAATTTCCAGTGATTTTGACAGAAATTGGGTATTTTGGTACATTTAGGGATCTTGACTTAGGTGTTCTGCTCACTGCCACACAGAATGGAGGCAAAATCAGGTCTTCTAAATTGAAGGCCTGTGGTCCACGCTACTGGAGCATCCTTAAATTTGGGGGAACAAGGAAGAAATTTAATCTCCAGAGTCTAAAGTTGATAATTTTCTCCAACACTTATTAAGAAAGCCTGCTCTAGAAATAATAAAGTGATTTCCCTTGTGAGATACTATTTGGTATCCAGCAGAGAGAGAAAATAGGAGGTTACTCGTCTGACTTCGCAAAGTCGTGTGTTGAGAAAAAAAGGGCTGAGAAACTGCAGCATTTGGCTGCTTTCAGAGTTTTGATCAACCAGGGAATTCCTCAAATGAGAATGCAGGAGGGTAAACGCTGCCACCCGTTTAGCTCTACGCCAGTGCTGTTTCCAGCCCTACAGGGAGAGAAGACTTTGAAAAGATTTTGAAAAATAATAGTTCTTACTAATGAAAACCTTCAGACCTTGGAGCTGCCTCAAACTAAGGGCCTGATACAATGCCAAGGCAAGTCCTTGCAAAGACTCCTGACGCTCTCCTGAGAGTCTGATAACTCCCTAATAAGTGCCAATGAAATCCTCAGCATTTCCAGATTATTAATGTCACTTCCAATATATCAACATACAGCATCCCCGCACCTCATCAATATCGCCCAAAGTCCTGCTGATATCAGGCCTGTAAAGTCATATTACCCAACCCACCACTCCTGCAATTTATCACCAAAGGATACAGCTGATTTGGAGCCCTCTGGGCATGCCAGAGCCATAGACCCGCCGAGCTTGCATTCGGGACAATTCCAGCCTGCATTAGGCATATGACAAATGGGAACATTTAAATGAGACTTTTTTTTTTTGAGTGTGAAGAAAAGTTAATCCCACAAGTTCCTCCCGGTTCTGCTGGTCTCAGCATTCCCAATGCTGTCAAACCCCTGGTGTGAGATGCTCCAAACCCACTGCCAGCCTCACCCCAGCTGGATCACATTCACTAGCATTAAGCCTGCCAGTCTGATCAGAGCTCTCGGAAGAAGTAGCAGCACTTAGATGAAGCAGCAGATCAATGTTAATGAAGACCTTCCTCCACAGATTAAAAAAAAATTAGCAAAGGTGATAATATGATAGATAGAAGAGAGTCTATGAAATGACTATTTCATACTGCAATGGTATGAAAAGTGAATAATTTATCCATCTGCTTTGGAAGTCAAACCCCAGGGCTTTGTAGAGAGTAAAACAGCACTGAAGTCCATCCACATTAATTCTGAATACATTTTCAGGTTTGATTTCTCTTGTATCTTAAGCTACAACACTTGATCCCAACAACAGCAGGTTGAACGCATTAGGAAGGAATGTTATTGTATAAGCAATCCCTCTACTGGCTGAAACATCAGAGGGTCATGGAAACATCTTTAAGCGTTGCTCCTTTGTGAATATATTTTTGGAATTCTGGTCATAAAGCTGGGCTCGAATCCTCATGGATTCAATCTGGCAGCTGATAAATCAATCATGCAATCAAAACCCCATGATTGGCACACAAGCCAGGGTTTGTGCAAAAGGCACAAGCATGCATGGGTTTGTGTGCTGTGTAAAGTGGCGGGGTTGTTTTCACAGGAGAAAATAAGAGACAGAATGAGGGAGGTCTTCTACAAGAACAACTCCTTCAGACCATCGACCAGGAAAGCCAACACAGAGACACCAAGGGCTGTCCCTGCCCTTGAGTGTGATGGGTGCAGCCATGGACCCTGAGGGTGTCCTCCCTGCAGCCCTGTCCCTGAGTGCCCATGGAAGGGGAGGACAGAAGGAGCCGGGTTAGCTCCTCTGTGGTGGGGATGGAGCATTCACTTTGGTCTCTGCCCTACGCTTTCCTGGAAAGGGAAAATTGGTTCAGTCTCCACTGGGGACTTCACCTGGACACAGGGACTGGAGCCACCATGTGCAAAGAACTCAGGTCACCTGTCCCAGCTCTCATCCCATGTTGATCCAGCTGAACATCCCAGGCAGATCCCTGAGCCCGCGGCAAAGGCAGAGCGGGCAGCTGCGGGCAGAGCCGTGCTCAAGGCAGCCCAGATGTGCATCGCAGAGGCAGATGGGTTTCTACATGTGGAGATTTATGACTTACTGAAAAGCCCCCAGTTTGATGGCCGCTTTTTCATTTCCTACAAATCTAATTACAGGGGACTAGAACTGATTGTGAACATATTTAGGGAATGGGCTTGTTGCTGTCTTCTTACATTTCCTTTGTAGTAGAAAGCAGTATGTTGGCTGAAAACATTCACACGGTCTCCTGAGAAAACATATCAAATGCCAACAGGAATGGAACAGCAATGGAAGGGCCTAATCCTGCACATGCTCCAGATGGCAGGTCTTCCTCCAGCCTGCAGTGACTCCGTGGATTGCTCCCCATAACTGCAGACTACTCATGCACGTAGCTGACTGCAGAGAAAGGCTCCGGTAAATGAAGACCCAGGTCCTGGCCAAGCAGACCTGTAGATCTACAGAGCAGTATACAGGGCTTTTACTGGCTCAGACAGGTGACCCTAGCAGGGCTCAGCACAACCCAAGCCTCTTCCCATAGATCCGATTTAACCACACCACCTCAAAAGAGAAACTTGCATTCCACAGTTCAGAGATGGGAGATCGATCCTTATTTTACCCAGAGGTATCCAGATTCTTTTGTAGATTCTCTTAACAGGGATCAAAAATCAGCCGAAACAGAAGAGCAGAGCAGATCTACCCAACCAGCAATAGATCTACTGAACCAGCAATCTGGCAGAAATTGCCCCCAGAAATTACAGTTGACACGGAGATGCCAGGGGACACACAAAGAGAAAAAAAGCCTGAACTGGAATCGCGTAGGAAGGCGGTCTAGTCATACGGTCAGGGAGCTGAGCCACAGCAATGGCGCTATCTGCCCAGATATAAATGATTAAAGCAGCTCACGTCCTAAAACTCACCAGGCACAAGGTACACATAGCCCAGTGTAACAGAACGTCTTTCATAGCTGTTGAAAATATTTGAAAGATATACGTATAGGCATGGCCATTGTTATTTAGACTTCAGTATTCACACAGGGGTAGTAAAACAACATCTTCTGTCAGAAGCAGGGTCCTATTTTTCTGGCCTGAAAGAGAAAATCCTGACTCAAAGCGAACCTTTTATGAAGGAAGCAGCAGTAAGATATGACAGGCACACAAAGCTGCTTTGAGCAGGAGGGTTTATTAGCTGCTGCATAACAAGAGCAGCAACAAAGGCATTAGAGAGGGACTGCATTTAGCATGGAGAGAAACCTTCATGCCTTGGGGTACAGGACAAAACAGATGCCTCTTTGGAAGAGGCTGGTCCTTGGGCAGGTTCTTGTCAGAGGGGTGCCTGCGCCTGGAGCATGGGATACTGCCTGCTGTCAGGGATGGGGGAACCAAGTTAGCAGGACAACTGCTTTCATCTTGTCTAGGCAACTTTCAAAATAAATGTCTCTGTAAAATTAATGGGGAACTGAGGGGAAAAAAAGCTTCTTTGCATTCTAGGTTAAGCAACAGTTTAGTCTCCTCTTCCTTAAAAATGATCTGCCACCTGCTACTAATTTCCTTCTTTGTTACGAAAGCCATCGACTGCCTGAAGGAAAGGGGGAGAAGAAGCTGTTAAGTTGCACTTTACACAGAGCAAATGAGAACACAAATAGCAGGGGATGTGTGTTTTAATGAGCAAAAGAGGCATTGATCAGTTTACTACTGCACTTGGGGCTGGTCCCAAAACACAGCGAGCGCCCGGAGCTCCGTGCGGCTCTGCAGGACCTGGGGATGCTCATTGTCTGTGGAGCAGCAGGAGGCTGGGCACAAGGCTGGGGACAGGCACCGTGTCCTTCTCCCGCCTGCCCCTTCCCTTGCACAAATGCTGCTGCTTGTGGGAGGTGTTCAGCTCCCCCTTTGGCACACACACCCTACGCTATTTCAGGTCTTCCTCATCCTCTGCTTACCTTAAGGGCCGCAGTGTCCTCAGCAGTCTCAAAACCCGTAGCATCCCCAGGATTTTTGTCCCGCTGTCTGACACCATCGAGACCAGGATGTCGATGACGGAGATGAGAACCAGCACCCCATCCAGCACATTCCAGCTGCTTTTCAAGTAGGCTTTCTCCCCAAAACACAAGCCTAGTGCCACCACCTGCCCGGACATGAAGTTGCAACAAATTATGACTACTGCATCCAATATGCTTCTTCCAGTTAGCAACCTGCTGAGAACGCATTATTTACAGATACAAGGCTGCAAGTCCATTTGCTTCCCAGTACAGAAGCCTAATTAGACAAATCAGCAAAGCGTTATAATGCAAGAATTGTAAAAATACCTCTGCAGAAACATCCCAGATTGTCCCTTACAGCTGATATATTTTTAATGCAGCTAAAGCTAGCTGCACCAAACTGTTCCTAACATGTTTAGCTCCGGCATAAGAAGTTTGAACATATTTTATTCCTACAGACTGCTGGAGTTCAGAGTGGCTGACTCAAAGCAATCATTTACAAGCTTTGCAAATAAAGAAACTGGAGAAACTTTCCAAAGAAAGAGCAATTGTTCTGCAAGATGATTATGAATTACACAAGAGAGATTTACAGCAATGGGTTTCTGAGCCTCCTGCCTCAAATCCAGCAAAACGTTTCAATGTGCTTAAGTCTCTCCCTCCTCAGGAAAGCACATATCTGCTGAGGTTGTTGAGGACAATTGGTTGTGGAAGACAATGGGACTTACATGCATGGCTGAAGTTAAGCATGTGTTCAAGAGCGTTGCTGAATAGGGACGGATTGCTGAATTGAAGCATCCCATTGCTCATATAACAGTGTAAATCAACAGCAACTTCAGTAAAATCATTCTGATGTAAAATGTGCTCAGCATAAGGCATGTGGTGGATATTTGAGTATGATTCAGAAGAGGAAAATATACACCTCGCTCATAGCTGGTAGACCTAGGGGGGTTGCGAGTCCACTGTAATAAAATATCACTAATATAATAGAGGCACACTTATGCACTGGGTACGTTTACCTTAACGGTCATCTCAGTCAGGAAGATAACTGTAAAGATGTAGTTGGAGAGCGTTAGGAAAATCCGTTCCTACCAAAAACAATAAAAAAAAGAGACAATGTTTTCTGGACTGCTCTCCACAGCTGTACGTCTCCCTGTGTATGTTTGGGAGGCTGCAAACTGTTCAGCTTCTGTGCTGAAACAAGGCTCGGAGGGTTTGCTCGCAAAGAGAGAAAAACCAAAATATTTAGACAATACCACGCCGCAGGGTTCAGCACCACCAGTGCCCGGGTCTGTGTCAGCACCATGG